GGAGGAGGAGGAGGAGGAGGAGGAGGAGGAGGAGGAGGATGACGAGGAGGAGGAGGAGGAGGAGGAGGAGGAGGAGGAGGAGGAGGAGGAGGAGGAGGAGGAGGAGGAGGAGGAGGAGGACGAGGAACAGTGGGGGCAGGAGCAGAGGAAGAGGAAAAGGCACAAGAGACCTAGGGCAGGCGGGAGGGATGAGGAAGAGGATGAGAAACGGGGGGGGCAAGATCTTAGGAAGGGCAGAAGGCACAAGGGGGGGAAAACCAGGGGAGGCAGGAGGGAAGCGGACGAGGAAGAGGAGAAGGAAGAGGAGCTGGGGGATAAGAAACAGGGGGGGCAGGAGCGGAGGAAGGGCAGGAAGCACAAGAGAGGCAGAGGGCAGGGAAGCAGGAGGGAAGAGGAAGTGGAGGAAGATGAGGAAGAGGAGGAGCAGGAGGATGAGAAACAGGGGGGGCAGTCGCGGAGGAAGGGGAGAAAGCACAAGAGAGGCAGAGGCAAGGGAGGTTGGAGGGAAGTGGAAGAGGAGGAAGAGGAGGAAGAGGAGAAAGAGGAGGAAGAGGATGAGGATGAGGATGAGAAGCAGGGGGGCCAGGAGCGGAGGAAGGGCAAAAGGCACGAAAATGGCAAAAGAAGGGGAGGCAAGAGGGCCAAATGATGGTGTGACGAGACAAGGGGGGCTGCAGATGAGGCATGCGTGGAGTTTACAAAAGGGGACAGCAGGAGAGGCATCACATACGTGCGAGGAGAGGCATTGGTGGAGACAGCAAGGGGGGCATCAGGGAAGGCACGTGTGGATAGAGAAAGGGGGACAGCATTACGGAGGGGAGTGGTGCAAGGGCCGCAGCAGTATAGGCATGACCGGATAGGACAAAGCAAACAGCAGTAAAGGCTTGACTAGAGGATGTCTAAGGCGGAGCAGCAGACGCATGACAGGGCTGGACATGCGAGGAAGCAGTGGACGCACGGGCAGGGCAATAGTACCACAATTAGTGAAGGAGGGATGGGAGATGCAGGAAGAGAGGCAGGAAGTGGGGTCGCAGCCAAGGCATGGATCATGGGGGCTAGGTGTAGGGGCGAGCATGCTCGGCCTAGAGCACGTGACATGGGGTGTAGTGGGAGGCATAGTGTACGGGAGCATGAGAAGCAGGTTGATGCAGATCACCCTAAGAGGCGGGGTCTTTGACTAGAGAGGGTGGGGTGTAGGATGCTCTTGTATGTGCCTTTTTTGTTGAGAATAAAACCCATTTACCAACGCTTCAGTAATGGTCATTTTGGATGCTAGGATGAGGCAACTAAACATCTTGTTAAACAACATGTTAACCATTGCAAGTCTCCAATCCAACTTCATTATAACTAAACCGGATGTCCATGAAGAGTACAATGCAATGAGATCCAATCTCCGAAATTGCTCTGCGGAAACTCCAACCAAACTTCTGCCGAAGGTTTTCACCTGAGAGGTTTGAACACACAAGCATCGCAGAAGCATGCGAACAGCGTTCGACAAAGCATCCAGAAGAAGGTATATACTTTCTCAAAATATCGTACCAAACAAGACGTTTATAAATCATTCAACAAAGCTTTAAAGCAACTCTTTCCAAAGGTTTTCTGGACGCAGGATTTTTGTGATGCTCTCTCAAACCCTGCACTGGACATTCAAGTAGACAACTTGAAGTGTGATGGGCAAAGCACGCATAAATTGAGAGGGATTAGGGAATATCGGGGAGATTTCTATCATGTTGCGAAACGACTTGCATGCCGCGCTGCATTCTCAAGGTGAAGTTGTCCGCTCAAGCTGCTAAGGATCATGCGTTGGATGAGAATCACGAATCTAAAGAATCATGGATCGTGCCAAATGGCACATCCGGTGTGCCCCTTGGCTTTGATAATCCGCTGCCATGCCACGATTGGTGCCACTGAGACTATCTTGTGCATGAGGTTTTGATAACTGGAGCGACATGAGCTTGAACGAGACACGGGAAACATATCAGGGCACAAAGAAGGGGGGCATAGCAGCTGCTGCAGTTTTCTCCTGCTACTCTCTTCAGAGGAAAATTGGTGACAAACCCCTACGAGTGCTGGACAAGTTTGAGGCTGAAACCTGAGCAGATTGAAACTGCTCTACACCCATACCTAAGCAAAGATAGAGGTTGAATCCACTCTACACACATTTCGACAGGCAAGAAGGCCATGGACAAGGCAAGGAAGGCAAGGTGTCGGCAGGTTCCAGCCACATCTGAAATGTGCCAACTGTGTGAAGGAAGCCCCAGCGGGCAGGATAAACTCTTTAAGCACTTGATCTTAAACCTCCATAGAAAACTGCGAGGGCAGGGTAGCATCTGCTACCTAGGCCCTCTTGCTACGCCGGTTACGACCGAAGTTGTCTTTGCGTTGTATGATGCACTTTCACCTACAAAAAAAAAAAAAAAAAGCTTGAACAGACTTTGTTGGTACGTTATTTCTGTTGGTGTTTCCACTGCTTCGCACTGCCCGTGACACGTACGGGGGTTAAACAGAAGGTTCATCGGACGAACCTTGGGAGTCGACGAGCGGGACACAGCGGACTGGAGAAACCACGGCGAGACACGTCAGAAAGATGAGTAAGCTGAGCCGAATGAGGCGCCCCGCCTCGTCCGAAGTTGCCATCGAGGTGCAGCGATTCCAGGAAATGGTTGTTTTTAATCGTTTGTGAAGTTGTGTGCGTCACAGAGCCGAGCCTAATTCTACAGCCTAATATCTGTAGACGGTTAAACCAAAAAAATAGTGTTACCAGCAGACGAGGAATCCCGAGAGGAAGCTACTAAGCTAGGAAATGAAGTGGAGAAGACAGAAGCAGGGAGGTGAGGGTGGGAGTTGAGGGCGATGATGATCGCCCAGTTCCTAGCCAAAATTTCTTTGCAGATCTCTTGCGTGGCTCCAACATCCCAACCAGGGTTGGTGACGTGGAATTAGCGAGTTGCGACTTCCCATTCAGCCGTGGATTGTGGTGTGGATCCCGACGGATGCGAATGGACTTTCAAGTTACCATTCTCTCGCGATTTCTAGGGTGACAAGTTTCAATGGTGGCGTGGCATGCCAGCAGGGCGTGTCCAGCTACCAGAAAATCCCGCCAGGTCTGCGACTTAGACAAATCAGGACAGCAGCTGACCCTGTTTGACGAACACCGACCTCTTCATTCTCTCTCACAGTAACGGAACGAATCGAAACCCTAATGGACCCTACAGCAAATCTTCCAGTATACTAAGGGCAAGTAGCTATTGAAGAGGATTATTGGCACTAGCGACTAGCGATTTGGTGACCTGGCGACATAGCGAACTACTTACTGCTCAGCCCGTGACGTACTGCTCAGCCCGCGACCTGCCTTATCGCAACCTTAAATCGTGAAGTGCTCAAAAACGATATGGTAGAGTTGATAGAGTTCCATCGTGCGAATTTCAAGTTGACTAGAAAATCGGCAAGTGTAACACCTCGCTACCCACTGGGTCAAAACGAGGGTTGTATTTTGGCACTTGCATGTGATGCTAATCCGTACTAGCTACAGGATGTCAGAACGTGGTAGAACATTCGTATTACGAAGGGGACATCACTTTCGCACCTCCTCCCCACTCCCCATCCTTCTTCGCCCTTCCACACAATCCCTCCTGCGCGACGGCGCCGCCGCAAAAGGCACGAATTCGCAATTGACAGCAGGAGGCATCAGAGAAAGAAACGGCGCTCTATTCTGCCGGCCTCCCTCCCGCAGCTTCCTGCCAATTTCTTACTTTCCTGGCCATGATTCTTCCACCTGCTCGTTGGATAGTCTTAATAGAAACATAAACTTTCGCCCAGTCAGCGGTAGTAGCACTAACACTGTTGGCGGTCATCCCTAATGTTTCCTATTGGCGACGGCGAGTCGAGCGAGTGTCCCGTGCGTCGCCAACTGCTTTGCGAGTGCCGAAATTGTAGGTTGCGAGAGGCGGCCTCCCGAGCATCGCGGGCGTCAAAGCTGCACGAGCAGCTGGCGATGGCGAGTCAATATGACGAGCAACGGCACCGTCATCATCATCGCCGCTTTTGACAACTCTCATAAGTCATCGACGCTGCTGAAAGGATAGCTCAATCCCTGCTCCTTGTTTCCTCCCTGCTCCTTTCCCCATGCTTGTTCCCTCCCTGCTCCTCACCAGATTTTGCTCCTTATCCTCATTCTGTACGTGTTGCGAGGCAATATCCATTTGCCATGTACCCTTCCGGGCGGCCATTTCGTCGTCTTTGCCGTTGACCATTCTGCCCGATCAGGTGCGTCCTGCTCAGAGCACAATCGGTGTCCTGTTGAGGTGACGTATGGCTGGGTGCTGCATGGCTGGGTGCTGCATGGCTGGGTGCTGCATGGCTGGGTGCTGCATGGCTGGGTGCTGCATGGCTGGGTGCTGCATGGCTGGGTGCTGCATGGCTGGGTGCTGCATGGCTGGGTGCTGTATGGCTGGGTGCTGCATGGCTGGGTGCTGCATGGCTGGGTGCTGCATGGCTGGGTGCTGCATGGCTGGGTGCTGCATGGCTGGGTGCTGCATGGCTGGGTGCTGCATGGCTGGGTGCTGCATGGCTGGGTGCTGCATGGCTGGGTGCTGCATGGCTGGGTGCTGCATGGCTGGGTGGCGTTACACGCTTGGCTGGTCGTCACCTTCCCGCGCTACATGCCGGTCCCAAGCTGGACCAGTTTCCTTCCCCTGCCTTTAGTCGCAGTGCTACCCGCAGCAGCACGCTAGACAGCAACAGTGCTGTGCGTATAGGCAGCATAGCTACCTCCAGCGGTATGACTTGCAGCAGCAAGCTAGGCAGCACTGGTGGGAGTATGTGGACTCCACATGGCAGCAGCATCGGTTTTACCACCAGCAGCAACGATAGAAGCTGCAGTGGCAGCAGAGGCGATGGCGACGACAGTTTATTGCTGGCAGGGGTGAAGCACATCGTGGCTGTGGCGTTCGCGAAAGGCGGCGTCGGCAAGTCCACCACTGCTGCTGCACCTCACTGAATCACCGCCTCACCGCCTCACCGCCATGCCCCTCGCCGCTTCCTCTCCGCTCATCATATCCCACCCTCTCCTCCCCCTCCTCTCCACTGCCCTTCCCATCCGCCTTCGTTACCTGCCTATCCCCCTCCCCACCCCCCTCCTGTTCCCCCTCCCCACCCACCTTCCCTTCCTCTCTAACCCATCCCCCTGCCCACCCCCCCTTCCCGTCAGCCTCCCCATCCCCATTTCCTTCACTGCATGTCGACAGGCTCCCATACACGCTGTACTCACCCCTGCCTTCTTCCACACATACCATTCACCCCATTCTATCATCCCCTTCATTTCCTAAAATCCCTCTCGCCCCATGCACCTGACCGCGTGCCTCCCCCTGTATGCCTCTTCCACCGTGCCCCTCACCCCGCACCTCTCAATGCATGCCTCTAATCGCATGCCCATCTTCCCTTATCCCCCCATCCCCGCATCCCCCTCATTTAACCATCCCACATTCCCTCCTCCCCTCCTCCCCCCAATCCCATCGTCCCCTCCCCCTCTCCCACCTCTCCCTCTTCCCCCCACAGTGAACCTGGCAGTGGCACTCGCAAGTGGGGCTGCTGGACGCCTGACGTGTTCGCCCCTCACTGCCCAACCTGCTCGGCCTGCACATTGTCGCCTCCTCCCCCTTCTTGCCCGCTGGGCCTGGAGACTGCCGGCCGCCCCCTGCTCGCCTCGCCCTTCCCCCACGCATGCAGGCGCACGGCATGCTCTGCATGTCCGCTCACGTGGGCTGGGAGTGTGGGCTTCCTCATGCCTGCACACGTGGCGACCGTATGGCGTTGGCCCATGGTGATGTGATGGCGGCAGTGGAGAAGCTTGTAAGGGGGACGGAGTGGGGGGGATGGACGTGCTCGTGGTGGACATGACGCCCGGCATGGTGACGTGCAGCTCACCTTGAGCCAGCGGTCAGGCTGTCAGGTGTGTGGCAGATGGGATGGGATGGGTTCGGATGGGTTGCGATGGGAGGGAATGGGTTGGGATGGGAGGGGATGAGACGGGAGGGGAGGGGAAGGGAGGACATAAGATGGGATGGGTTGGGTCGGCATGGGAGGGAAGGGAAGGAGATGGGATGGAATGGGATTGGTTGGGATGGGATGGGATTGGTGCAGCGAGTAGAGGAGGAGATGGGATGGATGGGTGGGATGGAGTGAGGCTAGCACAATGGAAGGTAGGGAGGGCATGACCGTGGGAGTGGGTGGATGCATGAGTGGTGGTGGCCGTACTGCATGGCATGGCAGCAGGGGGGTACAACAGGGGAGGGGCAGCAGGGGGGTACAATAGGGGAGGAGCAGCAGGGGAGGGGCGGCTCGGCTTGTAAGGCCACACTGCCTGCCCATGCTCTCAGCTCTGCTGGCGATGCCCATGCTCCCATGCGGTCACTTCCACCAGCAGCACGGGCGGATGAAAACGGTGGGGCAATGGATGTGGTGGTGGTGATGATGGCCATGGACGCCACCAGCAGTGCTGGGAGCACCAAGGCACTGGAGTGTGGTGGGTGCACAACCCCAGCTGCACATCCCTACTGCCTGCCCGCTCACCTGCCTAGCACTATGCCCGCTGACTCCCTCCCACTGCTGCATTCGCTTCATTTGCTCGTGGCGCTTCATTTTCCACTCTTATGTCGCTCCTGTTCATTGCTCACCCTCACCAGGAGTGGTGGTATCGATGCCGCGCAGGACCTCGCACTGATGGATGTGCAGCGAGGAATGAATATGTCCTGACAGATCAACGTGCCGGTGGTTGATGGGGTGGTGGGACTGTGTGAGTGAGTGGAAGTCGTGTCAGCAAGTGAATGTACCTGTGGGCTGTTCGTACTCCAATGACCGGCTGCCTCACTTGTTGAGAGAACCTGGTGGAACTGGTCATGGCGGAGGTGGGTGGGGCGGGTACCTGGCAGAGGCAGGTTGCTCGAACAGGTGGTTCCTGGGGATTTGCAAAGCAATTCTTTTCAGTGGGTTTGTGGGAGAAGTGGTTTGGCTCTTTCATTTGTTCATGGCAAGGGTGGTTCATGTCATGACAGAGGATTAGGTGCTTGCCCCGTGACCCTTTTCCTTTTGTTTTGTTCATCACAACATACCCCTCCCACTCTTGGCCTATTTTCCCCCTTCCACCCTTCCCCGGTTGTAAATCTCTACTTTCTTGCCCTGCACGCTTTCATTTGTCTACTCCCTACGGCTTCCCTTTCTCCTCTGCCGGCACCCGTCCCCCACCCCTCTTTCACCCGCCAATCCCCGTTCTTCTAAATTCTCCCGCCATCCATCTGCAGCCAATCCGACAACGGCCGCTGTCTTACTCTCGGCGCTTCGGCTGCTGCTGCAAGCGGGAGAGAAGGTGGGGCGACAGACAGTGGGGACAGCTGTAGACGAGGCAGCAGTCGATGGCATGGCAAACGGTGGGGCGTCAGAAAAAAAGGGTGGGGGGGAAGGGGGGAGAGGGGGACGGGGGGAGGGAGGGAGGATGGGTGTTGGGGAAGGGGAGGGTGAGCAGGGGGAAGAGGACAGAGGATGGGACAGATGCTGGGAGTGGTGTGTTAGAGACGGCAATGGTGGTAAGATATGAGCGCCTGGTGAGTGGCTCCGTCTTCCTTGCCTTGCCCACCGTTCCCACCCCTCTGTGCCTACCTGGTCACTGCCTCCCCTGTCAGCACACCCATCCCACGGATCCTTGCATGCGACGTTCATCCGTGCACCCGCCTCAGCTACCAGCTGTCTCACCAACGCCCTTTTCACCAACACCATGCGCCCGTCTCACCAACGCCCTTTTCACCAACACCATGCGCCCGTCCCTCCCCATTCTCGCCCCCTAACTCCCCTCAGCTATTCCTTGTTGCACGTGCATAATGCCTCGCCCTTCTCTTCTCACCCCATTACAATGATAGCAAAGCAACTCAGTGGATGTAGTGTTTGAAGCACCGGCAATACAATTTATCGTATCGGCCCAACAGTGTGTTCTCATGGGAAAAAGTAGTACAGGGGCAGCTGTGCCGTGCTCCACATCCCATACCTCAACGCACACCTAACTTCCATACCTCTTCCCATACGTTACTTTCATCTTAGCTGGTGCAGAAATTGTGTTTATCTCTGCGGTGACATGGTGCAGCACAGTACAAGAAAACGGTGAGATGTAATGGAAGTCTTAATTGCCTGGATTCCACTCAAATCCCTTCCAGTTGGAGGGGATGGAAGTCTTTGTTGCTTCTTTCACTCTGCTGCCGCTTGGTGTAATTCACAAAAGGCTGCTGAAGGCAGTGGTGGCACAAGCATTGAGGGAAAAGCGTGACTTCGAGAAGGGAGTATGGCGATCAAATTGAGGCTCAAGTGCGCAGAAGCATGCATCACAGGTTCCCCTTCCCATGCAGACACAGGCGCACATTTTCCTGCTTCACCTCTGCCATTTGTGCCATGTCACACACCCAGCCAACAGACAGACCCCCCCAAATGACCAGCTGCCACTCACCACCTTGGATCCATGTATCGTGATTGTGCAGATTTGTCAAAAGAACGAGTGTGTCTATTCTATTGTCTTGAGATGATATTCATGGATCATATTGGAGCAGCATCAAAGACTCGTGGTTACACATGCATATCTTAAAATTGGCATGCTTTGGCAGGAAGGGATGCATTGCATATCGTGCGGTTGCTACGAGTACCGTACAAAGACATTGCACAGCCTGCTGCACTGTAAAACAAGCAGGCATACCATGCAGCTTTCCCTCCTCCACCTGGTATCTTGCCCTACACATTCAACTGTCCGACTGCAAGGTGCATGGCCAGAAGGTTATTTTCCAAGTTTAAACAATATGCAAGTACAGCATCACCACTCTGCCTCATCCCTCCACATTCTTCACATGCCTTGACTCCATGCCTCTCGTCAGTCTCCCTCTAGGCAGTCACCGCCAACTCTTCCCTCACCTCACCTCGCTTTCCATCATCACTCACTACCACTTCCTGTTTATCCGCCAGCTTACGTCACCATCCAAATAAAAATCCCCTCCTGGCAGCGAGAGATTTGTCAGGTTGGTCAGGGCAGACAGGTGCCGCAGCCCAGCATCCGTGACTGCTGTGCCATCTAGAGAAAGATCCTCAAGCCCTGTCAGCTTCCCCACATGCACCATGCCGGCATCTGTCACACTTGTGCACTTGATAAAGACCAGCGCATTCAGAGAGGACAGAGCTGTCAAGTGTGCCAGGCCAGCATTGGTCAGCTTGGCATTATTGAGATACAGGTACTTGAGACTGGTCAAGCACCAAAGGCCTTCCAAGGCATTGTCTGTTATATATTTTGCGCAAAAGAGGTCTAGCATCTCCAGCTGTGGCAGCCTGTAGAGGTGCTTGATGCCCTCTGCACTGAAACCTGAGCTATGCTGCAATACAACTCCCCTCAGATGTGCCATTGTGGACACATGCCCGAGGATGTCGGTTGAGAGGCGGTGGCAATGCCTCAGGTCTATACTGAAATATTTTGATGCTGTCTTCATTGCCTAAAAAAAATTGGGTTGAGAGGGAAAATTTGACAGAACAAGGGGTGAATATATGGCGATAAGACAGAACTAGCAAGCAGTGAATGCCAAGTGGAACAAGGCATGCCTGTGCAACAACGCACTCAGCACTCACCTCCAATGCTTTCTTCCGATCACCTTTACTCTGCCTAATTTCCAGCTCAACATTCAACTTCAAATCTTGTATCCTCTGCCCTTCATTACAGGCTGCCGATTCCTCCGTGGCATGTGGCCAATTCACCTCCTGCACCTCCCTCCTCCTCTCCTCCGCTGTCTCTTCTTTCCTTCTCTTTCTACTCTTCCCTCTTAGCTCTATTTCATCCGATGCCCTGCTGAACTCAGCCGGTTGCTCTACTCTTGAGTCCATGAGTTCCGCCAACTGCCCCTTAACCGCTTTCAACTCCCCCTTAACCGCTGCCAACTCCCCCTTCACTGCTTTCAACATATGCCGCAACTCATCCAACTCCTCGTTGTGCCCAGTCAGCTCCTCCCTCACTGCTGCCAGTGCCGCCTCTTTGACCACTTCAATCAGTGGCCCCATCGCCCTCTCGGCAGCCATAGCATCCAGTGGACTCTCCTTCACTGATCCTGGCAATCAACCACCTCCTTCACTGCAGACTGTCGAAAGTAGACAGCACTTGGGCGCGGTGAGGGGTAAGGTCGGGTGCAAAGAGGAAGTTGGTTGTGAATGCACACACAATGGGAAAACACTGGTGTGGGACGAGGCACAAAACGATGGACCACTCAGTGAGAGACGAAGCTTGTGCACACACATGCAGTTGACACGAGATTAGACTTCAGTGGAATAAGGGGAGGCCAGGGGGAGGAGCAGAGGAGACAAGATATCAGGGAGGGGCAAGAAATGTGGGTGGGTACTGCCAAGCTGGGACATGGGAAATAGTTGCAACAATGGGGAAACGAATGCACAGAGCGAAGGGTGGAGACCAGCAGAGAGCAGGGAAGACTGCAGGTTAATGTATGTGGAGCACAGTCGGCTGGCACACAGAGGGTTGGTACGCTAGTGGTGTGGCGCAGGTGTGAGCTGAACGATTAGGGCAGCAACAATGTCATAGGTAGAACGGTAGTAAGAGTGACGGTTATTGGAAAGGCAACTGTTGGGCAGGAAACTAGTAGAGAAATATAGTGTGGCCTGCCAACTCTTCGCCTTACCACAGTCAGGAAGGCGAGATAAGCCGGAGCGAGCACACACCTAGGGTAGTGAGTGAATGCCATAGTAGGAATGAATGAGCTGCTCGTTGAGCCGAGAAAGACGATCCCTGAAATCGACTTGCAACGGGGCTTGGACCCACCTTGTTTTCAGAGAGCTGGTAAACTTGGGACCAGAGCGACTCAGGTCGCGCTGGGTTTCTACGACACACTTTCCAAGTCAGATCCAATGCATTCAAGATCTACAATTCTCATACCTCCTCCATTGGAGGAGGTCGGCAAGGAGTGCGAGACATGCAAAATCCCCCGAGCTAGTTGACGACTACACTTTCTTTTTTTAATCTGTGTCGTCACGGGTCGAGTCAAGTTGGTTCAGCCTAATGGGCAATGCATCGCCCAACTCGACTTGACATTTCCCAAGTCGTCACTCGCCGGGTTGGTGACTCGATGCGACACACACACCTGCCTCGTGTCTAGTCGAATAGGTTGGCACGACGACCCATTTATTGCACTTACCTGGGCCATGATAATCTTGTTCAAATACAGAGATTTTACAAATTTGAAATCCAGCTTTGGCCTTATCTCGCCTGTTTCGTTCGTAGAGCCACGCTGTTTGACTTAAATTGTTTTCCTTAGCTCCAACCTATCCAGTTTGGAATCTAAACTTCAGATCTTCTTGCTTCACTTCCAAGCATTTGGCTTTGGTTCATTCTAAACGGCGTGTTTTGGAGTTGAGCTGAAATCATAAGGCCACTCAGTATGAAACACAGTCACACATTCACTCTGGTGCATACATGTCATGTCAAGCACCATGGTTGCTACACTGGGACCTGTGCAATGTGGAAGGCCGCGACTGGGGAGATAAAAGGAAGATACTTACCTTCGATTAGGATTTGTTAGATCGCCGTGGGTGTGCGGCTCGCAAGATGATTCAGCAGCGGCTGTGTGGAGTCTGTAAGTGTTGTGAGGGAAGGGAGGAGAGGAGAGGATGGCGGGGAGACAGGGTGGGGAGGCGCTCTTATGAGTACGTGACACGTCTGACTGTCACACTGGCTGACACGTGCTTGTTATAGCAAAATGGACCTTAATGCACGCACCAGGTCGAGACAGCTTCAACTCGCGCGTCGACTCGAGTCAGGGGCAACTCAACCCACAAATTAGCGTCTCCACAACTCGAGTCGGGCACGCTCGACATTCCACTTAACTCGCCCTGTGCAAATGCCACGAGCTATGTTAATCACTGGAAAGGTCAATGAGAGCCTAGGTCAATGAGAGCCCAGGTCGATGAGAGACCAGGTCGATGAGAGACCAGGTCGATGAGAGACCAGGTCGACGAGAGACCAGGTCGATGAGAGGTCGATGAGATACCAGGTCGATGAGAGACCAGGTCAATGGGAGCCTAGGTCAATGAGAGCCTAGGTCAATGAGAGCTCAATGGCATCATGGTTAGTCAGCCTAGACGAAGAAAGGGCAGCACAGGAAGGGTCCAGGCTATCGACGCTGCTGGTCACAGCCTGAGTTGGTCACAGCCTGAGTCGGTCACAGCCTGAGTTGGTCACGCCCTGAGCTGGTCACAGCCTGAGCTGGTCACAACCTGAGCTAGTCACAGCCTGAGCTGGTTACAGGCTTGGGCGATCATTGCTTGGGTGAGTGACAGCGTGACTCCATGAACCAGGGCGAAAGCAGCAATGCTAAGAGGGGGAACGAATGCGTCAAGGGGCTCTGCTGGTCTCTTGGCAGTGTGCGGAATCCGTAAGCAACTCCGTGTGTAACCAACAGTTGCGCACTGACAGACCTACGAGCACCCCTGAGTTATGAGCTGTGAGCCTCAGGCTTGCAAAGCTTGAAAGCGGAGGTCTGACTGGGGAAAGGATGGGGAGGCTTGCCTCTAATTAGGGTTTCTTAGACTATCGTGTTTCCGCGGCTCGAAGTGACTCAGGTACGTCGATCTGCAGCGCGTGGTGCGTGATGGCGCGGCGCAAAAACTTGAAAGTGGCGCGACGGAAGGAGGCGAGCGGCCATAATAGTAACGGGAGTACAAGGTGCGCGGAGTATAGCACGAGTCGCACAGGA